GCTGAGCCATCTCTCCAGCCCCCCCTTCATTTGCTTATTTTATTTGTCTCTGTAGCTAAGGCTGGCCTTGAATGTTAAGCAATCCTGTTTCTGCCTCTTCAAGGCTGGGATTACAGAAGTAGGCACAAGTCTAGGTTATTAGCTGTTGACTATGAGCTTAAATAAAATTCATTCTAAATATTTCATAAAGATGAAAAAAAAAGACATCAGGCATGATGGCTTACATATATAATCCCAGCACTCTGGATCTAGAGTTTGAGGCCAGCCTGAGCTACCAAGTGAGGCTATCTAAGAAAACAATGATAATTATTATGAAGAATATGAGGTGTTCTGGTGACCAGTTCCTTCTCTGATTCCGGCTGATGCCATGAGGGTTTCAGTAGGTGGCTGGATGGACAGCGAGGTCAGAATGTAAGACAGACCAATAGATGCCAAGGCTGGGAGCTGGGCCTCTCCTGCCTCCCAGCAGCCGCTCCAGGCCGCTCCAGTGTAGGCAGAAGGAGGAGAGCGAGGGCTGCCTGCAGCAGTGCTGATGTGGCCATTCTCCTGGTGATGGATGGCAGCCCTCCAGAGCCGCTGTTCCAATTTGTTCCCAATTTGGACAGCCACTTTACCCACAATTCACCTAGTCAGGGCCACAAATCACTGTGGACAATCGGACTAAGGGAATGGAGGGGCCTAGGAGAAAGGGGCCTTGGCTATAGGAAGAGCCCAGGTTGGGAAGCAGGCCTCTGGGGCTGGTGGGGCTGGTGGGGCTGGTGGGGCCGGGTATGGGAACTCCATTCTAACTGCTGTTTCAGAGACCAGGCCTGCCTTCTGCCAGCTCCATCCAGCCCAGGATCTAGGTGACACTCTACCCAGGCCCCTCTGTTCCTTCCAAAGCCAGTAGGGACTCCTGCCACCAGCACTGGTGCAGCTCCTCTGCGCTCTGAAGCCTCAGGCTCACCCAACGCCTCCAGCTCTGCCATGAGACCTGAGCCTGACTCCCCGACTCAGAGTTAGGAGAAGCTGGTCACTCACTCACTCATCTGTTCACTCCAAAAATACAAATCAAACATTTGCTACATTACAATGGTGAGCAAAACCATAAAGTACACAGGCCACAGGAGACACACGGAGCAATCGTACAAAGAGAGGACACCACCTCTGGAGGAGCAAAGGAGGTCTTGAGCAGAGACCCACAGCCTCTCTTCTCTCCTTCACAGCTCTGCACAGGCTCACAACCAGGAAAGCCCTCTTTGGTGACCTCATCTATACATTCACCCATAGGCACATGGTGACCAGTCTCTGGGTTCAAGCCTGGGTGCCAATGCTGGGTGTTTTCCTTTCTAGAAGCCTTCCCTGGCAGAGGGCTGGATCTTGGGCCCCTTCCCCTGGGTGCCCACACTTGGATTCAGGGGCCACGGTGGCTGGTGAGAGAACCAATCCAGCCCGCCTCCAGCGGGTCCTACTTTCCGAGGAGCGTGAGCACTTCCTGAAGTCCAGCCTGCTCCTGTGACCCCTTCAGTCCTTGGTCTGGCTAATGGTGATGGAGGAGGGAGCAGCTCTGATCTACAGCAGCTGCCAGGGCCTGTGAAAGATGGCCACGCTGCAGGCATCACTCTCCTTCCTGACCGCCATGCCGCTGGCTCTGAACCGGTTGTCTCGGAGTGCCCCAGGAAGTGCTCTCTTTCTTGCCCCCATCAAGGAAGGCCTTGGGAAGTGGTTGTAGCAAGGCTAGAGAGTTAGGGTGGAGGGCTAGGTAGCCATGGGCTTGTGAGTCTGTGTTTAACCCAAGCACAGGCTAGACCCTAGACCCTGTACCTACTAGCCAGCACTCTACCAATGAGCTAGTCCTCAGCAACCTCAGTTTACCTCTTTGCAGAATGGAACAAGGTGCCACACTTCCCTCCTCCCAGGAAGGCAGGGTGAGGGTGGGGCAAGCTTCTCTGATTCTGAGCCTGAGAGGCTGAGATGCCATCACCCCCACAGTCAGGCAGGACACCCCCCACTGCTCCTGATGAAGGTGGTAAAATTCTAAAGACTAAAGTCGTCTTGGTCATTTCGGCCACCTCTTCCAGTTTCTTTGTTTAGCCTAGTCTGGAACTCAGTGTAACTGAGGCTGGCCTTGAACTCCTGCAGCGTGTGTGCTATCACCCACACAGACCCTCTCCGTTACTAGACAGATGGGTACTATCTGTGGGGGATCCTGGCACAGTGTCCCAGTCTGCTGTGAGTCTCCCGGAGGGCTCCTCTGCCTGTGTGGATGTCACCCCCACCTTCCAGGCACCACCGCTGTGTAAGGGGAGGACTGTGTGCATCAGAGGGCTGCTGAGATGGCAAGAGGGACCTGGCAGGCAATGTGGGGGCAGGGGGTGCCTCCAGGGCTGGCTGCTTTAAGACAGAGTTATTGTGGTTGGAGCTGTGGAACCCCATAATCCCCTGGGACTCCTTACCCTCGTTATACTCCCAAGGTCTTGCCCCCACCTTTTGATCAGATGGAATATTCATCCTCTCTCCTTCCCCAGCCTCCTGGAACCTCCTTGTTGGGAACAGTATCTCTTTCCTCTACCTGCCCGTGCACTTGTTCATCCCACGCTGTCCTGAACGGAGCTAGCCTGTATGGTGGGGTGGTCAGCCCTTGGGCCAGACCTGGTACTGAAGCTTTGCCACCTCATCTCCTCTGTGCCCACTTGGCTCTGAGTCAGCACTACCCTTCCTGGCATGTTAGAGTCCTGTGCACACATTCACCCCCCAGTCCCTTCTCCATTCCAGGGGTTGCCAGTCCTGCGGGTCCCTGCCCTCAGCTTTGTTAAACTTCCTTCCCTTCACCTTTTCTTCCCAGATGCCTTTGTCTTTTGCCTCTTCTGGGCCCCCATCTTCCTCAGTGGGACCAGCTGTCCAGGGACCAGGCTTTCTGTGTGATGGAGCCCTGGGGGGGCTGGAATCCCAGGAACTGTGTTCTGCTCCATGGCTGTTGATTCAACCACAGCTGTACCAACCCAGAGGCACTGCCTCCCATTAGCCCAACCCTCAGGAAAGAAATTTGTGTATCAGGCTTGGGTATCATTTTTAGCACCATACTCAGGGCACCTCTTCTGGGAAGACTACTGGGATGAGAAGGGCCAGTGTGAGCCCTCATAGCATTTCTACAAACATAAGGGCCCCAAGGCTGATGTCCTAGAAACGGTGTGTGCTGGTTTGCCAGACTCTACTCCATCGGAGGCTCCAAAAAGCCTTTTACTAGGGAGTCTTCTGCTTTGTCTGTTTGGCCAGTGTCCCCATACTAGGGCAAGGAATCAAATACCCCCTCCCCTTTTGTTTTGACATTGTCACTCGTAGCTCAGGCCTTGAAGTTGATAACTGCAGATCTTTCTGCCACCATGCCCACTTTATGAAGTGCTGAGCTGGAGCCCAGGGCCTTGTGTACACTAGGTCAAGATGCCATCAAGTGACCTGCATTCCCATCACCCACGGAGCAGCTCACAACCAGCTGTGACTCCAGTTCTGGGGATCCAACGCCCTCTTCTGGCTTCCACAGGCACTGCATGCATGCACTGTACAACACACATGCAGACAAACCATTCACACACATTAAAAAAAGATTTCAGAGGAGGATGCGGGCCAGCAACGTGACTCAGCTGGCAAAGGTTCCTGAACCAAGCCTGATGGCCTGAGTTCAATCTCCAGGGCCGTAGTGGAAGAGCTGACTCCCCCAAAATGTCCTCTGAACTCCACACAAGTGCTGTGATACACACAAAAGAAATCAGAGATATACAAAGACAAAACCAAAACCAAAGCTGGATATGGTGGCTTCCTCTACAGTTCCAACTCTCCTAGAGGTACAGGGGTGGGGACGTGAGACTCACCTGGAAGTCCGTAGGCTGGTTATCAAGGGGAAGGTGATGCAGAGGTGGAGCGGAGAGACTCCACCCCCTTACAAGGTGGTAGGGGAGTCTGTTGGCTGGTTTTATGTCAACTGGACTCAAATGGGGTCATCTGAGAGGAGGGAGCAGTTGAGAAAAAATGCCTGCAGAAGATCAGGCTGCAGACAAACCTGTACGGCATTTACTCAGTGATTGATGGGAGACAGCCCAGCCCACCATGGGTGGTGCCATCCCTGAGCTGGTGGAAGGAAGCAGGCTGAGCAAGCCGTGGTGAACAAGTCCATAAAGCAGCACTCTCCGTGGCTTGTGCATCAGCTCCTGCCTCCAGGTTCCTGCCCTGCTTGAGTTCCTGCGTTGGCCTCCCTCAGTGGACGGTGATTCGGGATGTGTAAGCCAGATGAACCCTTTCCTCTCCACGTTGCCTTTGGTTATGGAGTTCCATCGCAGAAGCAGTGATCCCGGCTAAGACGGAAATAATGACTGGAAGTTGTGCTCTGACCTCCACACATTGTGCACACACAGTGATGATAATGAGCAACTAAAAACGCACAAGACGGCGGGCACTGAAGAAGATACATGGGATCCACCTTGGCCTGCTCCACATTGTCACATACCAAGTGCACATGCACCCACACACGTGTCCTCACCTATTTATCAAATATAGACATGAACACATACACACACGCACACACATATACACACACAACACACACACACAGTACAAAATGTCCACAAAGACTCACACTGGGACTTCCCTAGCCATCCTCTTGCTCCTCCCACATGGCCAGCCCCTTGCCTATCAGCATGAGAATTCCAGGATGATTCTTGGCCCAGACCCAAAAGCCCGGGAATGAACCTGTAAAGGTGAGTGCCAGGAGTCCTTGTAATTCCACCCCTGTGCCTTCCCAAAGCACTCAGTGTGGACATCAGATGGTGCCCCCCGGGTGGGGCTGGCGTGGGAGGGGCCAGGAGGATTTGTAAAGGCCTTTTCTATCTAGAGCCAGGCATGGCGGTGCATGCCTGCTGAATCATCCCAGTACTCATTGACTGAGGCAGGAGGATGGAGAGGAGTCCAGGTCAATGTGGGCTACATTGGGAGTTCCAGGCCAGCCCAGGCTATGGAGTGAGACCCTATTTCAAAAGCCAGCACAAAAAATTTATTAACAGGAGTAAGTAAATTCTATTCTGGACCTGGTATGAACAGATGCATAATTTGCAAAAATTAATTAAACAACACATTCATGACCTCTGCTCTTTCTACATTTATGAACCCAGTATCATTAAAGGGGTAGGGTAAGCGGAAGCTGTAAGTGGGTCCAGGGTAAGACCCATCTGCCCTCAATGGGCCTCCTGGGCTTCTCCTTTGCTTTTACAGTTTGGCCTTTGCACAGGGCCTGGCCTTCTTGGTGCTGGAGGAATGACAGGGGGCCCTGAAGGGGGAAGGGAGACAGAAGCACAGGTGACTCTTTCATTAGAAAAAACCTGGGTGCGGACTGGAGCCAGGAAACGGCCCTGGGGGGGCCCACCAGCCCTGGGCAGGATGCCAGGAGGGCTCCATCCGCCTCCTAAGCAGTTCCGGGCCTCAGTTTGCCTTACTCAGCATGGAAATGGAAACAGCCTTGAGCAGGCTAGGCTGGTGATAAACCACGGCCTAGCCTGGGAGCAACATTCTCTGCAGGATTCTCACTCTGGTTCTGCTCACAGTCATGCCTGGAAGACTTGTGTGCTTTGGGGGCAGTTGCTTGTCCTCTCTCCCATAGAGCAGTGATGGTGGTTCTGAGCCGGACCTCTGAGCTGAGATGCTCATCCATCCTCTCAGAGGCTCTGCTGTGGCTGACAGCCTTGACTGGGGACAGCTGCGGTGATGGTCCCTCCCTTCCAAGTTTGTTTCCTCTTCCCAGGGTACCTAACAGCTGACTCGGAGGGAGCGTGAGATCTAAGTTCTGTCCCCAGCACCTCAATCCACCAGTCTCTAACGCCTCAGGCCTGTAGCCTTGGGTGTTGGGCTTCTGGTTCTTTTCTTTCTGGGAGTGATAAAAGATACAGGAGCCCCAGGGGCAAGAGGGTGACCAAGCCCTCCCACTTCTACTGGGTGGGGAGGCTGGGAGCCCAGGGGCAGGTGGAGAGCAGCAGGTGGCTCTGGTTGCTTCTCTGCCAAGCTCATCTCAGAGTAAGTTATTAACTCCTGGCTTGGGCAGGGCAGCTGGGCCATGAGTGTCCTTAGCATCCGACAGGAGCAGGACTGTACTAATTGAAGGCTTAATTTTCCCAGCGGAGGCTGCAGCGGGTGCCCTTCCTTTGCCATCTGGCCATATTTGTTCCTGGTGGGGCTCCCTCTGCCTGTCCTAGGGTCCCTGGTAGCCCTGACCCCTGCCTGCCTGTACTCTTCCCCATCCAGGGGATATTCCTTGGGCCCCTGCCAGGAGCTGGACCCAGGCCACATGTCTTGTCCTTCAGAATTTCATACTCTGGGGCCTCTTCAGACACAGCCAGGAGGCCCCCCACAGTCCGGAGGTGGGCAGGCCTAAGTCCTTCCAGCTTGCTTTCCAGGCCAGCCCTAGACACTCATATCTCAAGGGTGTTCCTAGTGAACTCAGGGAAGGACTAGAGGATCTTCAGGTGTCTTCTGGTTCTGGAGGAGATGGAGAGAGGGTGAGGGCTGAGCTAGCCCGCACAAGCTGAGGTAGCTGTGTGGGATTACAGGTGGGGATGGACACATGGAGTGCTTCACCCCTGTCCCCTGGCCGTCTTCCCATCCACAGCTGGGAATGGGACTCTGGGCTGCTGGCTCCTCACAGGTCCTGCGTGTTGGTATTGGCTTCTCAGCCTGCAAAATGGTTCCAGTTCTTCTTCACTGATCCAACCGGAAGTCTGGATTTTGCCCACTGCATCCTTCCTCCTCTGTACTCTGCAGCCCAGCTCCTTGAGAATGTGAGGAAACCAGTGCAGAAAAGAGGGGCCGTGGCCTCAGTCTTCTTTTCTGTAAAATTCAGACCAACGTCACTATCCACCTCTTCAAACACTCGGTCTCCCAGAAGACCACAGGGGCAGAGGAGTGTCCCAGAGGCCTCCAGTCCATCCATGCCTATGGCCTCTTCCACCTTGCGCTGCTCCTTCCCAGGAGGAAACGCCAGAGTTTTGGATCCCGAGTTCAGGCTCTTCTCTGCCACCTTGGACACATCTCCCAGTCTGCTTGAGCCTGCCCCAGGGAGAGGTCGGGACTACCATGGCCTGACCCACATAGAGCTTTGCCAAAGGGCAGGAGTGAGAGCTGGGACAGGTGAGGCCTGGGGACATGGAGCGAGAGACTAGGAACCTTAAGATCCCTGTGTCACTAGGGTTAGAGGCGAAGCTGCAGTCTGGGGTGGAGTCTGTGTTCTTGGGCTGCTGGGGCCACCGTGTTGAAGGTCAGACTAGGAGTCATGGCAGTGGGGAGGTCATGGCAGTGGGGAGGTCATGGCAGTGG